AAAGAGGGTAATAAGCACATCTTCCAAAAAGGACCTTAATGAAAATTTGTGCCTGCTGGTGTGCCATTGTTTCAGCATACTGCTAATGTATACAACTGCTTTAGTTCTGCTTTACAGGCTGCTGCAGTCTCCCACTCTTCCTACTGTAGAATCAATAAGCATCTGAAAATACATAATGAAAGTAATTTAACATACTGAAGGCTTCTTGTCTCCAGAGACACCACTGAGATTCAAGCTTTCTAAAAAAGAAAAGCAGTGCTTCTGAGAGGAAAGCTTGCGATGGGCAGCTTTTGCAGAATGACAGCCTACCTTGTCGCTTCTCCTCACTGCAGAGAGATGCAGTGCATTCACTAATTTTGATTGGTCAGTGATGTTGGGCTTAAATTGTGCTTCATATATGGGATTGATGCCCCCCTCCCCCCAATTTATATAATGATTCTTTTATAAAAGGACTAAATTTACAAATGATTTATGAATTCTGGAATATATTAAGGATATGCCAGTTTTATTTTTACCTTTTCACTCTTTACTTTGTGTAGACTGGAAACCACATGACACTGAAAAAAGGGATTAAACGTTTATTACTTAAAAAGCTTCCAACAATCTATATTTGAATTTGCCTACTTTCCATTTGTGATTCTCTTTTTTCGATCCTAAGAACATCTCTGAAATAAAACTGCCTCTTTGAGCCATGCTGAATTTCACCCCATGTGCTTATATGCACGTGAACATTTAGGTCTTGTCTTGAATAAATTATATTCAGGACAAGTTGATACCCACATGCATATTAAGAAAATTTGTATTAGGATTCACAAGAGATTATTCTGACCTTTAAAATGTATTGATACATAATTCAGTTTAATTCATGAATCAGAAAAGAATGATTTTTATTATCCATCACCGTGTACAATGTGTGTAGAGTAGTGTAGGTTGTTAATTTTGTTGAAATGTTAACTTTTAAACAAAAATTCCTGTATGTTACCTGTCAATTGTGCTAGAGACTTCACAGGTTTTTGTAAGGATGTCTGGCATGATGTTCTTAACCTTCACTTCATAGAGGGTGAGGGTGTCTTCATTTTCGCTTTTTTGTTTTGTAACTTATTTCTGAATCTGTTCTATCAGCATAAACAATGTGCACAACCACATGATGAGGAGTAAGAGAAGCGTAGCATAACATCATTTTTAATTTGTTAATGCTATAAT